TCGGGAATGCAAGAACATGAGTTGAACCATACTCTCAAACGTGCGCTGTATAACCTCAAGAGGTAAAATTCCTTCGTAGGTGTTGGAAAATTGAGATTTTGATTTTTCGGTGTATTTCCAGTTCGGTCGATGATATTTTACGTGCCGTAGAAGCCAAGACGAAGAAGAACGTAGGTTCAAAGATTTTTCATGCTACGCTCGACCAGGAAACTATCCTGTTTTGGAAGAACGAATTAGGTCGGGTTTTAAATCTTTTTAACGTAGGCTATTATTGTTTGCATGCCTATCATCATAATCGGACATTCTTCAGACAGAAGTGAATATCTCGACGAACTTAAAACTCCATGAGCTGCTGGCCTTATTGCCTTCCAATTTGGAGAAATCGTACGTGGTCGCATTGTTCTGCTGATGAGGTGTGTTCGCTGATTCCTATAGTGATACTCTGCTGCCTGAGGTACTGCCTGCTCCACCGAAGATCTTCGTAGGAAGAGACGATCTTGTTCGGAGTACTATACAACGTCTACTTCAATGCCGTTACGTCGCTCTCATTGGCCCCGGAGGTATAGGGAAGAGTAGTATTGCGCGGGCTGTCCTAAACGACAAGACAGTTGCCGCCAAGTTCCATGAAAGAAGGTTTTTTATCCGGTATGATAATGTGGACGCCACTCAAATTACATTTGAGATGTTCCTTAACCAGATTGCTCGGGCGTTGGGATTGCCGACATCGGTTAATGCTTTCAATTTAATACATAGGACGCTCTTGACATCGGAGATTCTTCTTGTTCTTGACAACGCAGAGAGTTTCTTGGATGCCGCTGTGGGTGCCTCACGGATAGCAGATGCTATCGATGGATTCGGTGCGAGGCCCACTGTCACCATCCTACTCACTACCAGGACTACTGTACTTCCTCCGAACCTTGGATGGTTCAGGTTACAGGTGCCAGCGCTCGAGGAGGGTGCGGCATGCGAGGCTTTTAAACTGATCTATTCCCCTTCTTCGACCCCTTCCATGAATCATTCCATTCCTGTCAAATTGCTCTCCGCGCTCGATTTCCATCCTCTCTCGATTAATTTACTTGCTCAAGTTGCAGTTCAAAATAAGTGGTCTACTCAAGACCTTGTGGATGCTTGGGGTCGTCAGCGTCTAGCCCTGCTTAAGGCTGGTGATGGTAAAGTTCAAAGTATCGCCGTAACAATTGAGACTTCTCTTCAATCCCCTTCCATCATCGAGATTGGAGATACAATCCGCCATCTGTTACAGATCCTCGCCTTCCTTCCTCAGGGTATCAGAAAGAAGCAACTAACTACTATATTTCCTGGAGTATCGAATATAGAATCCTGTGCAGACATCCTGTGCAGACATTCTCTGGCCTATTTGAATGGTAGCTTCATAGCACTTCTGGCTCCTATACGGCTCTACATATCGGAACACGACAATGTACACATATTGGAAAATCCACTCCTAGAGAAAGTTCGGCAATATTATGCTGCTCACGTCGACGAAGAGGAAGTTGTTTGCCAGGACGATGTTAACATGGAACATGTCTTTTCTCATTGGGTCGTTGATCCGAAGTGTATGGTGCATGTGTTGAAACTCATCAGTGACTTCGTCTACACTCTTCTCGATTGTCGGCCTCGCCCGATTTCCTTGTGCCCTGTCATAAACGCATTGGACCCCCAGAAGTCACGTCATGATATCTCGTGGATAGATTCCCTAAAAGTTTTCAGGTTTGGCCAGTCACTTCGAAAGCTGCAAGTCTCGCTCGAAAAGGGGTCATGTCTTTTTGCCATTTCTACGCTTCTACGTTGGATTGGGCAAAAAGCGGAAGCAAAAGAAACCTTTGCAAATGCGCAGGAAGTTCTGCTTGAAACAAGGAAACACGGACGCGCCCGTCTCATCGGTGTTGACTGGGCTGTTGCTCTGATCTACATCGAGCAGAGTAATTATCAGGCTGCAGAAAAGTTGCTCCGAACAGCGTTGAAGCGTCTCTCTGACACGTTCAGACCTAATAGGGACTTACAGGTCCTTCTTCGATTTGGCTTGGCTCAAATCAAAATGTTCAAGGGCGATCCTCACGCGTCCGAAGACTTCTTTGAGGCTCTGCTGGCTTACAGGACAGTCGTAGAAGACCCGAATGTAGTTATACCTTGTTATTGCGAGGCAGGATATGCACAACTCCATGATGGCCACTTGGACACCGCAAAAAGGTATTTCGAGGAGGCAAAGGCTATTGTAGACGAGGACTCAATCGAGGGCTCTGTGATGTCCCTCTTGGGGTCGGCCGAGATGGCTGATTACGAAGGTGACCACACCGAGGCAAAGCTATTGCGAGCACAGGCGCTTGAAATAGTTCAAAAAATGCCAGACCACACAGTAGCCTTCGTCAATGAGATGACGGCTATCCTTGCTGGGTATCTGGCCATGGAGGGCGATGCTGGAGAAGCACGGAAATTAATTATTCCCGCTGTCGCAAACGCTAGCAAATATCCTTCTCAGCACGCTGTCAGATGCAAGTACATAGCCGGGATGATCTACTTGATTGATAGAGATTTTGATAAAGCTCGGAACCACTTCCAGGAAACTGTCGAGGAATGTGTTTCAGTTGAAGAATTGAGGATCCGCGCCCTTTCAGAAAGGGCTCTTGGTGAGGTCGCAGTCGTCGAAGGAGACTTATCAGTGGCGAAGAAACGCTTTGAAGTCACCACAGACTTGTGCAAGGAAATGGGGATCCAAAAAGAGTGTCTGTATCGGAACCTTAAATGCTATATCCCCAATGATACTTTCAATGGTTGGAAGCTGTACCAAGAGGGTAATGTCGCGTTTCGAGATTGAAGTTGTGGCAAGAGAAGGGTGATAATATTTAGAACAGCCTGAGCTAGTGATCAGACACATATGTAATATAAATAAGCTGCTATCACTGCACGTTTTGACGAATCACATTGTCACACGCACCCATCTACGAGCACTTCCTCAGATCTCAGTATGGGCCGTCTGGATAGTAAGCATTTGTGTGTTCTCGTTCTCGTCTGCCTCCTTCCCATTCCATTACAATTGACATAGAAACACAGTCAGATCATCAGGGACTTTCAGTGGTCGCTCGATTAAGAGAGGTCTCGCAGCGATACACTCGTGCCCCAGCCTGAAAGGAAAGAATAAGAAACTGAAAGGACACAGAATGTGAGTGTATTCTGTGTGCCAGTTCTCGTCTTCCTTATTCAATTTGAATACGTCAGTGATGAATGCACACTGGCAGACTCGGGGACCGCTATGAATGGACATCATAAAGGTCCGGGAGGAAAGAATCATGGAGCTAACAAGCAACAAAGGGAGGAAGCAAACGAGAAAACAGAGAGAGAGCAAATGACAAGTAAGGAAGAGTGCAATCAAGCAAGTGAGGAAGAGGAGGAGCAAGCAAGTGAGAAAGAGGGGGAGCGAGCAAGGGAGAAAGAAGGAGAGCGAGCAAGTGAGAAAGCTGAGGGCGAGCAAACCAATGAGGAGTGCTAGTACTAGGAGAACAAGTGTTCAGAGGCGTTAAGTTCCAGTCGTCCGAGTAGTTTATAGATGGGCCGATCCATGCAAGTTATGTACACATGTCACGATGGCGATTCCTAGCATGAAGGTGTAACCTGGAATGAGGTGAATAAAGTAGAAGCGGAAGTGAACCTTAGGTCATGATTTCGGCGATTACGAATTCAATAGATCATGGTGTTCGTAAATGCAATAGAATGATAGTCGCTAGTGTTGAGCACTAGCTGTGGCGTCGGGCGAATTGACCACGATCCAGATTGCGATCGGTAAGATAATCTGCGTGGCGCGGATACTGATACAGTTGATGTTAAACATATTCCGCAAGTACACATCGGACTTATACACATGTTGGTTAGAACTATAGATGTGGTATCGTTGTCCTACTTGAGGATGTTCACTACTTCCAGGCAACCTGCTTGCCTGGCAAGGTCAAGTGCTGTCTTTCCTCGCGAGTTCTTCAATGCTGTATCTGCACCCATCTTCGAAAGACGCTGCACAGCAGAATCCTGACTGTGTTCCGCCGTTTCATGTAGTGCCGTCCCCAAACCACGTTCACACTCGAAATGCGACATCTTCGTAACAGGAATTTCATTGATCTCTGCCCCGTGTTTGAGCAGCAGCTCATTCATCCTGATACAGCCATAGTACTCAGCGACCTTGGGTGCGTTCCTATTCTTGATACGCGCGCCAGTTGCGATGATATCCTCGACAATCTCAGAAGCCGCGTTGATAACGGCGAGATCGAGCACGGAGCGCGAGTTGCTTCAGTGTAAATTTTGATTTGCGCTGTGGGCGCGGGTCCAGGAGACCACGGCAGGAGAGTGGAGAGAGAGGATGAGGATATCACCAATATGTCTCAAGTTGGTGTTGATATCGAAGCCCGAGTCAACGAAAGCTTAGAAGATGGCGATGGTCTCAGAACTCGGATGCGGAGAAGGCGGAGACGATAGCAGTCATATTGACCTGGGAACCGCGTGAGAGGAAGAGGGCAACAATGGGTACAGAGCCCATTTGTGATGCGAGCGCGAGGAGGGTGTGGGAAGGGTGTGAAGCCTCCGAGAAGACGAGGAGCATTCGTCTAGAAGATCGGTGGTGAGATTGAGATCGTGCTGAGGTCGTCTGTGATGTGGGCCTCTGAGAACAGAGTGATCAGCATACATAGGAGTCGTATCTGTCCTAGTCATTGTCAATTAGGTGGATAAGAGAAGATACCTTTAAGAGTCAGTAGGCGAGCTTAACATGCTTCAGGTCAGAAGCACAGCAGAGTATTTTATGCTCTTCGATTTGATGTAGGGTTGAGAGCACGCTCAGGCTAGACGCAAGACGGCAACGGATCGTGACAATCTCGAGATAAATATAGTATTGCGCTTATGCTCAACCAGCCGTAGCGTTCTCTCCGTCCCTCCGGTCGATTCTACCTGTGCCATAGAAGGTGGCTATATATACCCTTGAGACTATAAGGATATTACAGCCGACCTTAGCTCAGTTGGTAGAGCGCAAGACTGTAATGGTTATCATTTGTATCTTGATGTCGCCTGTTCGATCCAGGCAGGTCGGATAAATATAAAGGGATTGAGTTTTGCGTCGTGACGGAACTTATACATATTATGCCTCACTTATTATCCGATGTTTGTTACGAACAATTGCGTATCATCGCGCATATCCCATTCTTATGGAGAGATATTCCACCTGCTGGCAGTTGTGTTCAAACAGAAGGAATCAAGACACTGTCACATAAGTTTTGACTAAATTGATGGATTTGCACCCAGGGTCAAGTGAAATAATACGGCTTGCGGCCCAATGCAAAACGCAAGAGCTCGGGTTCGAATTTGACAAGCCCGTAAAAGGGAAGGGATATTCAGGCGTGGTAGTTGAGCCAGGCAAGGAACGCTTTTAACTCTTATATTTACTGTTTCAATTTGGAACGGATCAAACAAGAACTTCTGAGCATCACCTTCACCGCAGAATAGCAGACGCTTGGAACGCACAACCGTGTCCGTCGTAACACTGAGTGCGGTCGTTGGCATTTTCGCCTGTTTCTCGGCCAGGAACGTTTCTAAAATTTTTCATTGGACTTCAAAATTCGAATTGATCAACCACTTTGGAGCGTTTGAATAGAATAGAAGTCATCCTGGAACCTCTTTTCTACGAGCCAGATATAACCTCGAGTACAGGGTAGAGACGCACTTAAGGAGGGATGATTGAAGGGTGTGCGCATAATTCTTAATTCTGTCTAATTTAATGCCGAAATCACATGTTCAAGTTGATTCTTCTTATATCTTCCACGAGCAAGGTTTGATATGTGGCTCTTCGTCGTGGCTGTCTTTTGTTTTTTTTGTTGCGCTCTTAAAAGCGGTAATGTTTTTTTCACATTTGTATTCTGCTCGTTTGTTTTTTGTGTCCTTATGTTCGTGCTTTTGTTTAACGATGCCAAGGCCCTAGTTGGACCCACATCAATACAACACTACTCCTCTCTACTCATTCATACCTATGGCGACAGTGGGTGTCACTCGATGGTCTGTGTTGACTCTGTTGTATCGTCAATCACATAAATGGACTGGGCGAAGGAAGGGGAAAGTATAATTCACCCTCATTGGTAACAGAACAAATTGTGAACCTATTATCTTATAGTCCAAAGGTTGGTTATTGATCACTCTTTATTATATCTTTTGCCTAATTGGTAGTTCGAAGTCCATGTCGTGGTTCAACATCGACCCTCTGGACCACCTAATTTATGGCTCGAAGTCCATGTCGTGGTTCGATCTTGACCCTCCAGGCCTTGATTCTCTCTCGCCTCTTCTGGAGAACCTTCAAGAACTTCCTTTGTTACCTCTCGCTGTATCACTTCTCCTTGCTTTCACCGTATTCCGTGGATTACCACTGTCAGTAATATACTCTAGTCTTTTGTGAGAAGGAGTACTAACTAAATTGTTTCAAGCGGGCGGTCGTGGGCCGTAAGTCGACGTTTACGGCAGGGCAACAAACAGTCGTGGATACTCAAACGTCAAGATGATCTTGAAAGAGTAGTTTCCCAACAGGAGAGAATTCTGAGCGACTTGATCAAGGCCAGCTCACTGGATTCAGAAGAGCGCCGTTGCCAGCATCTTGAATTTATGAAGCGAACTGAGGAGAAGTTTGCAGAGGAAGAAGTACTTCGTGCTCAGGCAATCGACGCTGATATAGCGACATTGGCTACTTCGAATCCCTTCTTCAGGAACATAGAGGAAGAACAAGACCATTTCCGCAAAGGCGAAAAACTCCGCGATGACATTTTTGACGAAGAGTATTTAAAATGGAAGTCTCAGTTGCGGAACGTATCTCGGACTCAGAAAGATGATTTTGCTAAGGACGAGGAAAAATTGCCCGAAAAGATTGAAGAAGTTGAAGGAATTTTAGGCGAAAGGGTGGCCTTGTCTATCAATCTTATGGAAATGGTCAATGATGGTTCTGACTGGTGGCGATATTATTTCGATGTATGCCATCGAGTTTTTCCGCAGTTGGGGTCCCAAGCTTAATTTCTGTTCTCCAGTATGGCAAATCTGATGGTTACGTTTTATTCGAGGAGAAGGGCGAGAAAGTGGTATGTGATCCGCCGACTCTGTCGTACTCATTTTGATTTTCATGATGTATTCGCCCAGAATCGCATAGCCGGTCCGGATCGAGAGACTGAACCTGAAGAGTTTCCTGCCGGGGTGAGCCCGAACCTCGTATTTCATGGCCTTAATAATCAAGTTCAATTTACTAGGAACGGCCAAACAGAGTGCATATACCTGTCTATGCTTCTTCGGTTATAGACGGAGGGGTACCAGAATCTAGTGACTCCAGAGTCAACATGTTCTTCGACGGGGTGAGGAAAGGAAACTGCTCTTGCAGAATGTTTGACTTACCCAAATCCTCCATAGAATTCGGTTGACTTGAATCGTCAAGCGTTTAGAGAAGCTTCCGTGCACTCAGAGCTTCCAGTGTCGGTGAGTACACCTCAACCGAACAGAAGACCAACTTTCAAGGGAAAATTGCAGTCTCCATTGAAGGGCAGGGCGGCTGTGGACGATGATGACGTTACGCAAGTGCAAGAATCAGACCAACCATCCTCAATCAGTGAAGATCCAAATCGAACGCTGCCCACTCCTGAGGAAAATACAGCCACCCAGGCAAGGAATTGGATGAATGCACGTTTCAAAGAGACGCTCAAATTCGCTCAAACTGCCGAGGAACGGCGCAACTACCTCTTTAACAAAATGTATGTCCGCCGTAAACGCGAAGCCAAGGTGAACCGTCACAAGGATTATCAGAAGATAAAGAGCGCACTTATCCCTGAGAGCGCGGAACGAGATCGGCAGTTTTATGACCATATGGAAAAATATGAGGAGCGATTCCTACGTCTGTTGAGGAAATATTCAGGTCGCAACTCGAGGATAACTCCTTGGGATCGGATGAACATTCAGGTTGCCACGGGCACTATAGGCAGCCTGGGTCCTCGTTACAAGCTCCTTCTTGATACGGCCCTAGAGCGTCACAGACGCGATTTCAAAGAATATATGCGAGGAGTCGAACATAGGATGAAGGCTACGCCGGCGGCTCCCGAAACTCCAATAGGATGGCGCTTAATGGGAGCACTTTGGCGGATGTTCGAGTTTAAGGGGTCGAGCAGTCCGAACGACGAATCTAAAAGCGGTGTTCAGGTTCCGGGTCCTACAGCACTTCCAGCTGTTGCAGATGCGGAAGGAGATGAAGATCAAGTCGATACGATGGCCTTGGACGGAGACAAGTTGGATGGACCGAATGCTGAACAGGGCTCTCGTACTGCGAGCTACGTTGCTGTTCCGGTTTCTCCTGCAGCATTTTCAAATATCGCAGATGACGGCCATGATTCTGTCGCCGAAGGGCACAACAGCACGTATGGAGATCGTGTTGATGCAGTTGCTGGGGCCGGAGAGACTGGACCTGAATATGATAATCAGGACAGGCGAAGCTTGCAAGGGCAAGAGGAAGTTCAGGAGGACTCGGACGATGTCAACCGATTGGCGCGCCAACCCAAGTCAGAGGAGGTCAAAACACAAATCTCTCGTCAAGATCTCCACGTCAGGAATGATTCAGCGGTACCGCTGGCCGGAGATTCTCGGAAACTCAGCAAGAATGCGCCGCTTGTTTGGGACATTGGACGACCAGTACAATATCTCGGACACGAAGCACATGCGTCCAGGTCCAACGAGGATGACGACCCTTATCCTGAAATCCAAGACTACAGGCGGAACCTCACGTCCAACCTGGGCCGTACCCTCATCGACATCTTCCTCATTGTTCGCTGGGGCTTCGTCGAAATGCTGAGCATCTTCTTTACAGTGTTGTACGAGCTCTACGTCCAGTGGCATTACCTAGGATGCTTGAACATGCAGAAAAGATGGTTCGAGGAGGGCGTGGAGTCGTGGGTCGCTGCGCTGCAGAACCAGCATCGGGTGTTTGACGAGGCTCAGACGAGGAGAGAACGATTGATCAAGAATATACTTGTTGAGGAGGAAGAGGAGTTCCAGTATCGACGCGGGTATACGACGACCAAGGAGGATGATATAAGGAGACAGATCTTTTGTGAGGCTCAGTATGTGAGAAACGAGCGATTCAAGACGTATCTCCGGAAGCGATGGAGAGAATGCGAGGATGCGCCTCGGTCGAGAAAGCGGCAGTTCAAGGAGTGGAAGGAACATGTCATGAAGAAGATTGATCAAGAGTGTGAGGAGGCTCTGGAGCAATTTATAGAGGAAGACGACATGCGCCGCAAGGAATTCACTGCACTAACTGGGATTAAGGTTAATCGGAAGTGATTTTTCATTTCACGCTATATATATTATCATGGTTGGATGATTTTTATTACGGGATTTATGGTTTAATAATGTGTTTTTAATGAATTGTAACGACTTGAGTAAATAGCTGATTTTTGATCTGCTTCACAAAACTTGTAAACGAGGACCGTTTAAGCTCAAGTAGTAAAGAGACTGCGAAAAGTCAGAAGTATCAGAGAACAGCCCGTTCGTTTGCCAACAGACTTGGGATTCTGAGAGTGGGATGTCAGCGCCCAAGGAATACGAAATCACACAACAATCATGAAGTAATTGGAGTGTTGAGCAATAGGCCGTGCACTCTCCAGTTATTTTGGGATCGACCCTCAAGCGGTCGTATGGACCGTTGAAATACTTGCACCATCGAAAATTAAGCATTTTGAGAGTGGGATATAAAGCCGGTAAAAGGACATGTCATTGCCCCAGCGCGCGACAAGATTGACTAGGAACAAATTCAAATTGGTATGCCCGAAAGAGGGTGAAGACTCTACCTACGATGCAATGGCGAAGCATACAGTTTCATCCACTCGTGGTCATCAAGCAAGCGGTTCTTTGGGCCGTTGGTGTAGTCAAATCATTGAAGATGGATATATCAAAGAACAAGCTTTGGATCGGTAGGGTAACATGCCATTACTGCTCGAGATTTACTATCAGACTTCACTATCATGGCTTGGTTTCCTGAACAGGTAGATGACATCAGATATATGGTTCTAAGCCAGATCTT